CTGCTGATGGTTACCACGCCCCTCTTTTTAAACAGTACCCAGGCTTCGGAGGACAGAATCTGTCCCCTCGGACATCAACAATCCGGTGGACAGAGCAGCTGAACCCCATTTCGGAACCCTTCCCAAAGCACTGACGAAAAAGGTATAATGTTAGGCGAACCCTCACCCAGGGTTCCTTTCTGTGAAGCACCCCCAATATGGAGGTCCAGCAGGGGAGGGGAGCATGATACTGCAATCCGGGGTGTGTGGCCAGAGGGAGGCCTTTAGGGATCCCATATTTAGCCATTTCGTAGATTTCACATTTGTGTCCAAATCTTAGTTATGTGCCCATACCCCCCCTCCCCTATTTTGAGCTACCATTTCCTGAGTACTTACACTGAGTCGGGAACTTTTTCCATTGATATCTCATTTGATCCCCACAGTAGTTCTAAAAGTCACGTGCTGATATCACCTCCATTATTTTTCTTTCTTCGGCCGCGCCACACGGCTTACGGGATCTTAGTTCCCCGACCAGGGATCGAACCTGTGCCCTCGACAGTGAAAGCACAGAGCCCTAACCACCGGACCGCCAGGGAATTTGATATCACCTCCATTTTACAGATGAGGAAATTGAGCATGGGGTCCCCCGTGAATGAGAGGCAGGCCCAGGGTGCATGGATGCTGTGGAGGGCAGGCCCGTGGGGTTGTGCTCCCATCGGGCCCCTGACGCCTGCCTTGGCGGCTGGCACACAACAGGCAGCGAGGAAACGTTTGTACTGAATGCTGAGCGAATAAACAACCCCGTGAGGCAGCAGCTGATGCCCCTGCTGTGTAGACAGTGCACCGTGTGGCTCAGAAGGGTGGGGTGATTCATCCAAGGTCACACAGCTGCTGAGTCGGGGCTGGGATTCAACCTGCCTCGAGCTAGCACCCTGCCCTGGCTGGCCTGGCCTGACCGGGATGGAGGGTCTGGCCTTGACATGTGAGCGGACAGAGTGAGGGCCAGTGGATGCAGCCCCCTCCCCCCTTTAGCTTGGCAGTAGGCAGTGTGGGTGGTCGCTGGACAGTGAAGCCCACTGCATGGCTTTGGTGGATTCCAGAGTCTACCGTGCACCCCAGAGCCTTGAGGGCCTATGGAGGAGAAACCGGTTGAGCGTAGCATTTAACCCAACTTGGCCCCAACTTTTTTGACCAGGAATCCCTCCCCAGCCCCCTGAGGAATTGGTGTGTGGTCTGGGAAACACTGGGTGTTCCCCCGCTGATGTAGATTCAGTCCCCCCAGTAGCCCTCCCTCAGGTGGCCCTCTGGCCTTGCTAGGGCCCACACCACTGAATGTCCTAGCCGGCAGGTCCCCCTGCTGAGTGGAGGGAGCCCTTATTAGGCACCCACTGCTACCGCCCACTAAACAGAGGCTTGTCAGAGGCCGAATTTAATTCGTTAAAAGAGCCTACTCTGTAGCTAGAGCAGAGCCAGGCCCTGGGTGTATGACGAGCAGGTGTGGTCCTTGCTCTCGGGGGACACACACGGCGTGGTGGAGAGAGAGTCTTCAGAAAGCCGCCCAAGACGCCTGCAGCTGACAAACCGTAGTTCAAGTGCCCTGATGGAGAGTGCTGGGAGCCATGGGGGGGGATAAAGGAGAGGAGCACGCCCCGGCCAGGGCTGGGGAAGGACGTCGGGGAGGAAAGGACGCTTGAGCTGAAATAAGAAAGATGAGAGCAGCCCTCCAGGGGATGGACGTTGAGGTGCGCGTCTCCCCGTCCCCTTCTCCCCTCAAATATTAGACCCATAAAACGCCAGGACGCCCTGGCTGACCTCCTCCGTTTTAGGCGGGGAGGGGTGGCGGGCAGGCGGGGCTGGGCAGTCCCTGCCACTGCCTGTGTCTCTGGTCCCGCAGGAGCATCCTCTGGCCATGAACCACCTGGACTCCAGCAGCAACCCGTCCTCCACCACGTCTTCCACGCCCTCCTCGCCAGCGCCCTTCCCGACGTCATCCAACCCACCCAGTGCCACCACGCCCCCCAACCCCTCGCCTGGCCAGAGGGATGGCAGGTTCAACTTCCCAGGTACCACACCTTGGGGCTTTCTCGGGCCTCAGGGCTGGGGTTGCACGTCCCTTCTCTGCACACCCCGGCAGGCTCAAGGTCAAACACTGCCGCCACTAAGAGCACTTGCTGGGAGCCAGGCTCTGTGCCGAGCTCAAGAGCATCACCGTGTTTAAACTTGCTGTGATTGCACCCATTTTACAGATGGGGACGCAGGTTCAGGGGGAGCAAGTGTCTTGCCCTGAGCTGTACAACATGTAAGCTGCAGAGGTGGGATCAAAGCCGAGTCTGATGTAAAGCCTGGGGTTTTTTCTTTTTTAAATTTATTTAATTTATTTATTTTTGGCTGCGTTGGGTCTTCGTTGCTACGTGCAGGCTTTCTCTAGTTGCGGCGCTACTCTTCGTTGCGGTGCGCCGGCTTCTGATTGCGGTGGCTTCTCTTGGTGCGGAGCACGGGCTCCAGGCGCGCCAGTTCAGTAGTTGTGGCTCGCGGGCTCTAGAGCGCAGGCTCAGTAGTTGTGGCGCACGGGCTTAGTTGCTCCGCGGCACGTGGGATCTTCCCGGACCAGGGATCGAACCCGTGACCCCTGCACTGGCAGGCGGATTCTTAACCACTGCTCCACCAGGGAAGTCCCAAGCCTGGGTTCTTGACCTGATCCCAACACGGCCCTCCCATGCATGGGGTGGCTTCTCCTGGGCGTTGTTCACTCACTCAGGGCTTCTGAGCTCCCAGGAAGCAGGACAGGCAGCATGGGGGGCTGGGGCAGGCCCAGAAGGCTGGGGCGAGGGAATCCGGGGCTCTGTGGCTTACCTGCTCTGTGATCTGGACAAGCTGCTTAAAGGGGTGCTTTTGTTCCCTTTTCCATAAAACAAGAGACCGTGTGAGACTGGAGTTAGGTTATCCCCCTTGTATGGATGAGGCCACGGAGTCCACCGGGGAGTGCGTGCCAGAGCAGAGCTGACCTCTGACCATGGCCCCGGCTGCCCCGGCTCTGTAGGGACAGGGACCCCGCTGCTCGGCCAGGCCTGGGGTGTCCCACCTCCCCAAGGAGCAGAACAAAGCCCACTCACCCGTTCGGGATTGAACTCCGGCCCTGGCCTCCCAGGAGGCCCCTTGCAGTTGGTCTTGGCCCTCGGTGTGTTTCAGGTGGCAGCTCAGGGGAGGAGGGCGGCTGGGATATTCTGGTTTGCTCCGGACCCAGCCAGGCCCACTGCCAGCTTCAGCCCGTGGAGTGCCAGGCCAGGCCCCACCTGTCACTGGCCCCTGGGGCTCCGGGCTGAGGAGGACAGAGGCACAGCTCTCCCTGTGCCAGGGGAGCCCTGGCTGGGGCTGCTTGCAGCTGGCAGGAGGCCAGGCAGCCTCTCTGGGCCCATCTCCCCGGGGTCCCGGGGACTCCTTTCGGGGGACGGTGAGACTTTTAAGATTCCTTCCTCTTTGCCTGCCGCTTCACCTTACCGCGCATGTGGCTGGACATCTCCCGACATGAGTGTGTCGTCCCGAGCCCACCTCTCCCTCCCCGGAGACCCAGCGACGGCCCCGCGTGATCACCGTGTTCTGCTCTGTCATTGTTATGCTCTGAAACCGGGCCTTCTGCTGAACGTCCTAGTTTGGGTTTTTCTGAAAGGAAGGGCCTGTTTGAAAAACAACAGCCAGTGAAAAAGTCCTTTGTGTGATGTCTGCCAGAGCTTCTCAGCTTTCCCTGACGTCCCCAGGCTGGCCTCACATTGTCCCCTGCACAGAGCCCTCTCTCTCCAGGATCTGCTCTCTCTCTGGTCACGGGCTGGGCTGGTCCGGCTGTTAAGGTGGGATGGGACCTCCTCCTACCGTCCACCCACTCTGTATTGTGGGGAGCATTTCTGTGTATCTCCGAGGCTAACCCTGGGGCAAGGTTATTGTTTTGACGGTGACTTCTAGTGACTGAAGCCTCAGCACATCCAGGTGTGAATGCGGGCCGGGGGATTTTTGCCTTCTGCACACAGCACTGTTCAATGCTTTCAGAATCTCAGTTTTTCTCCCCGTTGTATTTTGCCCTCCTGGGCTCATGCGCAGTTCACAGAGGAGAAGGGGGCCTGGGGGGTGAATGGAATTGGCCAGGGCTGTGCAGCAGGGCGTCGCCTGGGACTGGGTCTCCAAACCCCAGCCCTCCGGTGCAAGTTCCTTTACTCCTGGGGCCTCCTGCTAATAACCGCTTTCTCCCAGCTCTTTTCCTCCTTCCTGCATGGAAGCTGGGGCAGGGCAGGTGGGGAAGGGCTGCCCCAGCCCTATAACCAGCCCCTCTCCCCCAAGCCCGTGCCTCCGTCCCCTCTCCTGCTGCTGCATTTGCTGTTCTGTGTGTGACTTACCTGCTCTTCTGTTTAAAGCTGCCTACTGTATTCACCATAGAGAGCAGTTTATCTTCCCAGGTGAGTCCTTTGCATGGTTCCACTAACTGCCCCTTGACGTGACCCGCCTCTGTCCAGCCCTCTCCCTGGGTGCCTTGGAGGTACCTGAGTCTCACACCCATCTATTTTGAGAGCTGACTGTCTGTTGAGGCTGGGCAAGGGGGCAGAGGGAGTAGCCTTGAGGCTGGCCCTTCACAGGAGCAGTGCCTTCCTGGGAGGACCCTTGGCATCCATCTAGTCCTTCATCTCGCAGACACTTCAGGCAACTTGTCCAGGGTCACACAGCCGGGAGGTGGCAGAAACCCAGTCTGCAGAATAAGGGGAGAGGATCTTTTGCTGATGTCTTATGAGCATCTGACAAGATACCTTCCCCTATATAATGGCAGGGAAACTACTACCCTATCTTAAAGAAGGGGATGCCAGTTTGGGGAGGTCTGCAGCCTTCACTTACTCGGTGGGCCTCACCTTCCAGAGCCTTGTCACACAGCGCTATCTGCTGGCAATTGGTGGAAATGCCTCCAGGGCAGAAAGTTTAAAGAAAACTTTCAATAAGACATATTCTCATTGATTCCCTTCCACAGAAATTGTTTTGTACACCTTCTGTGTGCCAGCCTTTGCATTTGACCGTATTCCTGCCCCTAAGGAGTTTATACAATTAGTACTTATTTCTCTAGCTGGAGGTGACAAGCAATAGCACACGTAATCTGCAACTTTAATTCTGAACTCGGCCATATGAAGGTTCTGTGTGTTTTAGACAAAGACCGTAGCTAATTTTTTTTTTTTTTCCTGGATTAAACAGGTCTGTCTTGAAGTGCTGGTATTTTGGTTATTCCAGGCTTTTCTGTTCCCCAGCCCAGCCCCATGAGGGGAGTGACTGGGAGCCCCTGTTAGTTCTTACAGGCCCACCTCAGTGGTTTTGCAGGCTGTGTAGGCTGGCTGGGCTCAGGGCCAGGCTCCCTGAGCTGCTCTGTGGCTTCACACCCATTTTTTCCGTGGTTCCCCTCCAAGAGCCTCCCTGGTTACTGCTCTAGGGTGGTGTACAGGGGAGCACCCTTGAAAGCATGGGGAAAACCTGCGGTTCTTCTTACAGAAGGGTCCATCTTGCTCTGAAGATACGTCAGCGGGGAGAGAAGGGAAATATAGTTCTATTAAAACAAATGTGGACATATCTGGAGCAGAATGCAAAATGCACTCTTTTTTTTTTTTTTTTTTGCGGTACGCGGGCCTCTCACTGCTGTGGCCTCTCCCGTTGCGGAGCACAGGCTCCGGACGCACAGGCCCACTGACCATGGCTCACGGGCCCAGCCGCTCTGCGGCATGTGGGATCTTCCCGGACCGGGGCATGAACCCGTGTCCCCTGCATCGGCAGGCGGACTCTCAGCCACTGCGCCACCAGGGAAGCCCCAAAATGCACTCTTAATGTTTAGGGAAAAGTATGAAGCTTCAGAGACATTTTGCCTCCCCCCCAACTTGGGGTGCGGTTTCTCCCCAGACCCCCACCTCCCCACGTCCCCCCGTCCCCGTGCATGTGTTTATCTTCTATGGAAACATGTGAGAGCGTTGGGTGGGTGGAAACACCAGGCCGCCCTTGACAGTCTGCAGACACAGTGTAGTGGTGTCTGGAAGAGCCTTAGAAGAGGCTTCCGGGTCGAGGATTCCTCAGAAATTGTACACAGGATGTTGGGTACACGTGTGCATTTCCCTAATAAGAAGGCCCACGACCTCTATCAGACTCTCCAAGTATGATAGAGATGTTGAGAAAGCTACAGGGGTAGCCTTGGAGAAAGCCCAGAGGGAGGTTTGCTGGCTGATGGGGGCGCTATTTGTCCTAGAGGACAGGGGGAGGCCCTGATTAGTTCAAGCCACTGCCACCTCCAGTCTCTTCTTTTGCTAAAAAGGGGAGCAAGGGGCCCACCCAGCCCTGAGGCTGCCAGCCTCCCCGAGTGCGATTAGAAGGGACCAGAGAAAACAGAAAGAAGCCAGTGGCAGAAGCAGCCGTGGGGCATTTGGCCTGTAACATGTTGGCCCCACACTGCGGTGACCATCTGTCCTGTGTTCCCTGGATGTGGGGCTTTCAGTGCTGAAGCTGGGAAGGCCCCAGGCTCAGGGGTCAGTGCCAGCTGCCCAATCCTGGGGCCCCCGGCGTGCGGACCGTGCATTGCTCTCTGCCCAGAGGCTGCCCCACCAGCCACCCAAACCCTGAAGCTGAGGGGATGGGGCCCCTGGTCCCCACCAGCAGTTCCCGGCGGCTGTGCCAGGCACCACGTGACACTAATGAGCCACCTGCGAGTCTAGCCTTTGGCCTCTGCTGGCCCGAGAGTCTCCCCACTCTCAAGGGGTGTTGAAACCAGCCCCTGCCTCGGAGCCGTGGAGGAGGGTCTGGCCCACACACCCGGTAAAGAGCAGCCCTGTCGCTTTTACCACTTGCGTGTCTGGGGCGGTTTGGCCACGGGGTGATGGTGGTGACTGAGAAGTCTCAGCCTCCTCCCCCACTGGAGTCCCTTCCCAGGGCAGAGCTGTGTGGGCAAAACCGAGGGCCGTGGAGGCTGCGTCTGTGTTCTGTTTTGGGAAAAGCCCAGGGGAAGTGGCCCCGGAGCATGCGTGCAGTCCAGCCAGGGGCTGCTGGCGGAGCACGCTCGGCCCTGCGGGTGCTGGCTTTGCAAACACTGTGTCTTCCGGGGGAGTGGAAGGGGGTCTCGTGCCTCATATTTGTTTTCTGTTTCCTCCAGACGTTTCGGCATTTCCTCAGGCAGTCCCATTCGCCGAGGCGGACAGTTCCCGGTAGGCAGCCCTGCGCTCTCTCCTCCCTGGGGACTTGTAAAAGCTGGACGCACATCCCTGACCGCCTCCCACCTCCACCTTTAAATCTCTGACCCTCCCATTCCAGACCTTGCCATGTACCTGGGCAGCCAGATGGGACACTGCTTGGGCTAATTCACCCTGTGATCCAGTGAACTCAGCCATAGGGTTTTAGTTGCCTCCTGTTGGTGCAGTCAGCATTGGGTGGGGCAGTCTGTGAGGCAGGAGCAGTCTTGTGACCCAGGAAGGCCCAGCGAAGGGCACTCAGCGTTAGAGAAACCTAATTATATGGCTCCTGTTTATGGAGCCCTTTCTGTGTCAGGCCATGCTGAGTACTTGTCTCACATTTTTTTTGCATATTTCTCAGCCAGGTGTAAAGTAGGTGTCATCCTCAACATACAGGTGAGGAAGCCAGCTCAGAGAGGTTAAGAAATTGCATCCAGTCACACAGCTTAGGGAGCAACAGAGCCAGTTCTCAAGTAGAATTCCAAGTCCTGTGCATGTGCTCAGAACCCCATACTGGTTGTCAGATTCGAAAGGGCCTTGATGGTCACTGCCCACCCGTCGGCCCCTACCACCCTCAGGTTAAGTCTGGAGAAGGCCAAGGCCAGAGAAGGGAAACGGGGTCTGGTCCTCGGCCTCCTGTATGTTTCCACAGCATCCTGATTGCCTTTCCCACGGCCGAGTGGGTCAAAGTAGGGATCCAGGCCTGGTGCCCCTTTCTCAGACCTCACATGGGGAGTCCCCTGCCCAGCTGGGAGCAGAATGGCCTGGCCTCGGGGTCTCTTTGACAAACGCTGTTTTACTCTTAGGCTTGAGAACCAGCAAAAAGCAGATGTGTCCGAGGATCACGAAGTGGAGGTGAGTGATGGCGACACGCAAGCCATCGCCGGTGCATCTCTCTCCTCTCTCCCTGGCGCAGCACGTGCAGGGGTCTGGGGAGCATGTGGGCACCGGGCCCTGCTGAGGGCCATCTCAGGTGCCCACCCGCCACCCGCCGCAGCAGACTCGAGCAGTGCACGTGGCAGGGAGAGCAATGAGGGATGTGCCACGAAGCAAGCTTCCTTCTGCTTTTCTGTGTTTCTGAGGCTAAACTCTTCATTCCCATGGTTTTCACCCCCAGACAGAAGGCCTGGGCCCCAGCCCGGAAGCCTCTCCTTTGGTCTGTCCGGGGTGGGGCCGGGTGTGTGGACTTATCAAAGATCCCCAGGTGATTCTGACTGTAGCCGGGGCCAAGAATTGTTACCTTGACCCTTGAACCAGTGTCAACCGAGCAGTGGCAGTGGCTTAAAGATCTTGAGCAGATAGCAGACTGATTTCTTCCTATGCAGAGAGTCAGAAACTGTGTGTTTAAACAAAAGCATAGCCAGAAAGGGCGAATGCAGTCCAGTTCTTCATGCCAGGGGATGTTAATGCTCTTCCCCGGCGATTAGATGTCACTCATAGGTGGGTCTTGGAACATTAGTGGGGAAAAGGGCCAAGTGCCGTAGTCTGTGGATTAGGACATTGAGGCTTTGTGGTGCGAAGTGACCTGCCTACTGTCCACAGCAAGCCCCGCAGAGCTGCAACTAGAGCCCAGGCTTCCTGACCCCAGGCCCCTCTGCTCCCCACCTGCCCCCAGGTCTTCTGCCCCCTCTATCCCCTCCTCATCTCCTTCCAGGCTGAGGAGCCCGAGGCCGGCAGGTCGGAGGTCGAAGACGACGAGGACGAGTTGGATGACCTGCCGAGCTCCCGCCGGCCCTGGCGAGGCCCCATCTCTCGCAAGGCCAGCCAGACCAGCGTGTACCTGCAGGAGTGGGACATCCCCTTCGAGCAGGTGGAGCTGGGCGAGCCCATTGGGCAGGGCCGCTGGGGCCGGGTGCACCGCGGCCGCTGGCACGGCGAGGTGGCCATCCGCCTGCTGGAGATGGACGGCCACAACCAGGACCACCTGAAGCTGTTCAAAAAGGAAGTGATGAACTACCGGCAGACGCGGCATGAGAACGTGGTGCTCTTCATGGGGGCCTGCATGAACCCGCCGCACCTGGCCATCATCACCAGGTAACCCGGTCCCACTCTCCCTGGGGTGGCCGCCTCCTCTTCCCCTTTCCCTGGGGGCCCTGTTATTTGTGTGGACACCCCGGAGGGCATGGAAGTTTTCATTTAGAGAGGTACAGAGAAGAAAACCAAAAATGAGGTGTAATTTCTCCATCATATAACCCCATTGGCATTAAATAAATAAATCAGTAAAACAATACCTAAGGATAGAGAAAATTCAAATGTTCCAGAAAAGTATAAAGTGAAAACCAGTCTCTTCCCACCCCACCTGGGTGCTTCTCCCCAAAGGTGGATACTGTAAACAGTTCCTTATCACGCCTTCCATTAAAATAAAAAAAAAATTTGTATACGCTCATGTTTTTAAACTATTTATCTATTTGATTTGTAACTATTTATGTGTTTGTAAAAATACACACCAAAGAGCCTACTGGTTACTTTGCCTTCTTGGCTGGAGTGCAGGTCTGATGTCTACTCTAATCTGAATACCTGCATAGTGTTCCCGTCACGTCACGTAGCAGAACCTCCACTGGTGTGCTGGTAAATGTTTAACAGCCAGCTCTTGGGTGGCGGTGAGGGAAGCTCTAGTATCGATACATGGCATCTGTCAATTCCTGTGGTGTAAACACTCTCACCGCAGTTGATTTCAAGTTACCAATATGGTGTCACTGAAAGTGGAGTGGAATTGGGTCGAGTCCCACAACTGGGCTCTGGGCTCTCTCTGGAACCCGATCGCTGGTGCTCCCCTAATTTATTTAACCAGCCCTCTTTTGCTGGACACTTTGTCATCATGAGCATCTCTGTTTCTGTGTCTTGGTGAACTTCTGGTAGTACGTGTGTGGGGCTGGGTCAGAGTGCACGTATGTCACGTTTTGATGTACGTTGTCCGTTTCAACTCCAGAAAGTGTCCACCACTTTCCCCTCCCACCATCAGTGGATGAGTGACCATTCCCCCCCCTGAGCACCGGAGGGGTGTGAAACTGAAACATTTTTGCCCATGGCATTGAAAAAGTTGTTGTTGGGTCTTTACTGCTAAAATCAGGAAAAGCAATATGAGGTTAGTGACGAATCTTTGGAACATACGTGGTGTCAAGAAAAAAACTAAAAACCACTTTAATCCCATCAGCCAAAAGAATACTCTTTAATAGTCTGATGACATTCTCTATAGTTGGACCCTGTGCTTTGAAAAAACACCTTCTCCTCAAACAGACTGTATTTGTTTACTAAGTAAAAAATAATTTCCATCTTGCTTGCATATCTGAGATATAAGTAACTACCCACTAGAACTCCCGAGCAGTGTGAGATCATCAGGTCACCACGTGGACCTGGTGGGGTGGGGACAAAATTCCAGCTCAAGCATGACACCATGATGCTTCAGGGAGCCTTGCTGTGGTTACACCAGCTCAGCATCCCCCGGATCCCAGCCTCAGTGCCGTCCATCATTTATCCTCCCATCTCTCTCTCATCCACCCAGTCCCATGAGAGATCTGAGTCTCCTTAAAGGGAATACATAGAGCAAAAGAATAAAAGAACATTAACAAAAAAGTTAACGTGTTTTAGAATCTGCTGAGGGGACTGGAACACAGAAAAGCAACCATCAGCCGATATTCCAGACCTTGAGGATCCAAGAATCTTACTCCTTGGAGATGATTCCTAAAAACTAGCCCCTTCCTCAGATGGCTTAAGTCAGCTTCTCCCTGGAGCAGGGGAATGAAGCTACACATTCTATCTGGGTCCTGCCTCACTCCGGGTTTTAGGAGTCGGTACAGGTGGGGACCACAACATACAAGCCCCTTATCTACTAATCACTCTGACAGCCACCCCTCCCCTCCTGCACACTCCGCATTGTAATAAAATCCCTGTGATCAGAAAATAACACGATCATGAAAATCATTATGGTGAACCCGGAGCCCTGATGCTGCCTGGTTACAGCCTGAAAAGGCCAAGGATTCTTCCCTGGCTGCTGAGTTTGCCTGGGCGTGTTCCTGCCTCGAACTTCCACAAAGGTGGGCTGCTCTGAATTGCCAGGAGGCTTGGTGAACTGAGTTTCCTGTCCTATGGTGGGCAGGCCCTAGGCCTCGGGGAACCGGTGTTCTTGCCCACTCAGGCCAGGCTCCAGCAGGAA